GCCTTTCGGCGCGACGTTCGACGCGTTCCGTCGTCTTGCGGTCCTTGCGGCGCCCGAACCCGCAATGTCGGGCCCCAACGGGGACCTGGGCATGCCGGTGGAGGCGGGCGCGGAAGGCGAGGACGACGGCTTCGAGGAAGCAGGTGACCCGGGGGGATGCTGAAGGGACCTTTGCTTTTTCAGGGGTGCCCTCCTGGGAAAGGGAAGCGGGGCCGGGACGGGGGCTTGGAAGGGACCAGAACCCCTCCCCAGCCCGCCCCTGGGGGGGTCCCGAGTTGTAGGCGCCCCGCGGCGCCCGAACCCGCAATGTCGGGCCCCAACGGGGACCTGGGCATGCCGGTGGAGGCGGGCGCGGAAGGCGAGGACGACGGCTTCGAGGAAGCAGGTGACCCGGGGGGATGCTGAAGGGACCTTTGCTTTTTCAGGGGTGCCCTCCTGGGAAAGGGAAGCGGGGCCGGGACGGGGGCTTGGAAGGGACCAGAACCCCTCCCCAGCCCGCCCCTGGGTGGGTCCCGAGTTGTAGGCGCCCCCTCGGAGATGCAGGGCGAGCCCTCGCGAGCGGGTCCCTGGAAACCGCAGCGTTCGAGAACTGTGGTGACCAGCCCCATCTTACAGATGGGGAAACTGAGGCAGCTTCGGGGACACTCTCCCGTTTGGCATTTGCTCCAGCCACTATCAGTTCGTAGAGAGACCGAGGCACCGGAGTGGGTCCTGGGTTCGAAACACTACTTGGCCAGCTCGGCATAGCAGGAGGGCAGACCCGGTGGGCGCGCCACTTTGTCGAGTCAGCATCCCCAGTCACCTCTTCCCGAGGGTGACCTGCTTACTAAGCAGCCTATTGCGTGCTTAGCAGTGCAGGGGCGAGAGAACCATTAGATCCCTTTTCACCTTCTCCAGCCTCAGTTTCCCCATCTATGAAACAGGAATAATGATTAACGTCTCCTGTATTGGGAGGTGTCAGGATTAAATGAAAAAAATAAATGAAAAATGTTTAGCAGGTACTAGCATGCAAGTGTCAGTAAGTGGTTATTGTCATTATTCTCTTTAGTGTAGTAAAGATTAGCTTCCATTAAGTGTAATAACTTGGGGGGCAGGACTTAATATGGACATACTTAGTGGGCTAAGTATGGAGTGTGCTTTTTGTTTTGGTAACAGCTTTATTAAACTATAATTCACATACTATACAATTTACCCATTTAAATTGTACAGATCAGTGGGTTTTAGTATATTCACAGGGCTGTGCATCCATCACCACAGTAGTTTCAGAATCTTTTCTTCACCCAGGGTCTTTTAATAAAGAGGTAGAAGACCTCCCACTGGGGACAAGCGGTGGGCTGGCAGTTTTGTATTAGGCAGTGCTGGTGAACAGTGGGCCGATGTGTGTAGTCACTGCTGTGGCAGTGGTGGGAGCATCAGGAAGGGCCTTCCAGGAGGTCACATTGAGTGGATGTTGGCAGGTTCATAGGACTTGGGGAGAAGGGTATCCTAGACAGAAGCAAAGGCTTGAAACTGGGAATACCCTTGACACAGATAAAGCCTATCCCCGAGTTGTGTGGAAACACCTGCCTCCCCCTCCCTTCTCCCAGCTGTGTTCCATGACACAGAATGCGAAATATTGATAACAACCATTTATTAAGTACTTGCTGTAGTTGGACCCTTTCTGAGCGCTTGCTGTATCTGAATCCTCAGAACAACCCAGTTCTTATCCCCTTTTTCCAGAAAGGTGTAATAACTTGCTGGGATGGAGCAGAGCTGGAACCCAAACCCAAATGCCCCAGATTCCCAAGCCTGAATTTTGGCTCTGTCACCAGCCAGTGGGAGGACCCTGGGTAGGTTCCTTCCTTCTCAAGCTTCATTTTTCCCATCTGTACCACGAGGGAGTTCAACTTAAGATCCAGCAGTGACTTCCCAGGACTCTGTCCTCTGGGAGGGGTGCCATCCCTGGGCGATGGGTGCCCTTCCCCCAGGGTGCTGGTACATTCGCACCCACATCCCAGACACACTCTTTGGGCTCTGTCTTTTCCAGCCACTGCCAGCTGCTTCCCCTTTGGTCCCAAGCTGGCAGCCAAGTTTATCTGAGTCATGGGCTGGCTCAGAACTGGGTCCCGCAGTGGGCACAGGCCCAGACCTTGGGTCCTAAGGGACGATATGTTGCTGACAAAGGCAGGTCAGGAGTGGCCGGGAGGAAGGGAGTGATGGTTTCTGGTGGAGACCAGGGAAGACTTCTTGGAGGAGGCATTTTGAGCTGGTCCTTGAAGGATTGTTGTGGTTGATGCATTCTGGGTGGCAGGGACAGTTGAGTAAAGGCAGAGAGGCCGGAAAGTCAAAGGCTTCATTCATTCATTCACTCATTCCTTCATTCAACATGTTTATTGTGTGACAGTGAGGCCACCAGGGAGACAGCAGTGAACACAAGACCATTCACCTCTCACTTTATAGTCGAGTGGGGGATACAGACCAGCCCACGAATAATCACAGCAGTCAATCCTGAGGGAGGGCTGTGGAGGGCTCAGAAGGGCGAGGGGATCAGGATAGAGGCCCGATCCAGTCTGGGGCACTGGGAGGGCTCCCCATGGTCACATCCATACTGAGACTTGAAGGATAAGTGGGACTCATCGAGGAGAGGAGGGAAGGCAGGCAGGAGGAGGACCCAGCGCATTCCATGCAGAGGCAACAGCATGTTCAAAGGGCCTGAGGCAGGCAAAGGCAGGTATGAGGAAGGAAGGGACAGGCAAGGGAGGCAGGGCTGGAGAGGGGAGCAGGGGCTTCGGACAGTCTGCTGGGTGCTTTGTCCTGAGGGTGGAGGGAGCCATGAAAGAGCTGGAGAATAGGGCCTGCCTGGGGAGAAAGACCTTGATAGCCCAACTCAGGAATGTGGGCTCTGGCTGCCAGGCAGCTGCTGAAGGGAGTGCAGAGGAGACTGGACAGTCTGCTGGGTGCTTTGTCCTGAGGGTGGAGGGAGCCATGAAAGAGCTGGAGAATAGGGCCTGCCTGGGGAGAAAGACCTTGATGGCCCAACTCAGGAATGTGGGCTCTGGCTGCCAGGCAGCTGCTGAAGGGAGTGCAGAGGAGACCTGACAACTAGCAGGACTTCCCAGGCTGGCTGTGACCACCCTAACCCTAGAAAAAAGGATGCCAGTCCTCTTTTGGTATCTACCCATTTTCCAAATGGTGACACTGAGGCTCAGGAAAGAGTAGGGACTTACCCAAAGCCCTCTTGGAGGCAGACTGGGGGAAAGTGGTGGCAGGGGAGGGGGGGAGGGATTGTCCATGAGCCTCAAGGAGACACAGGACCTTGGCTCTGTCTCTCCCTTGCCTCCCAGAATATGCTGCCATCAACTCCATGTTGGACCAGATCAACTCCTGTCTGGACCACCTGGAGGAGAAGAACGACCACCTCCACGCCCGCCTCCAGGAGCTGCTGGAGTCTAACCGGCAGACACGCCTCGAGTTCCAGCAGCAGCTTGGGGAGTCCCCCAGCGATGCCAGCCCCTAGGCTCAGGGAGCTCCCAACCAGGCCCCAACCCTGCTTCCCTAAGCTAGGCCCTGTCCTGGGCACTCGTCACCCAGCTTAGATACCTTCCCAAGGGCTGGCCTTTGGGTCTCCTAGTGGGTCTGCTTGCCAGGGCCACCCTTCTGGCACTCACTTTGGCTTGCCCAGGCCAGCCCCCACCGCCCAGCATCCCCTCCTGGGGCCAGGTGTGGGCCTGCAACTTACCCACCTGCCTGCCTGCCCAACTCTGGGCACTTCCCACTCTGCTCAGGCCTTGAGTGTCCACATTAAATGGGTCTCCCACACCACTGCACCCCTCTCCTCTGTATTTGGGATGAGGACCCCAGTGGCTGCTGGAGGTGAACAGGGAGTTCCAGGCATTGATCATGCACTGGCGGCTCACGGGCCGGGTGGTGGGGCTGGGGTTCTTGGCCACCTTGTATTTCTAGATGCAGAGGGTGCAGGTGAGGTCAGAGCCTGCTCCCTACCTAGTGCACTCCTGACCAGCAGCTGCTTCCCAGCCCAGCTGAGACAGCACTGGACACGTGTATGACCAAGGTGTGCCATGCAGCCTTTGCATTGCCTTCCTGCTCTTGGCCTGTCTCCCCAGCTGGCCAGTAACAGGGTTGGTCTGGTTGTCTATTTCTAAGGTCTTTCTAAATGAAGAAGCAGCAGAACTGAAGAACCAACTCAGCCTGGGCCCCATTTACTGATGATTCACCTTAGGGTCGCCTGACCAGGAAGGCATGGCCCCTGCTGGTGAACCAAGAACTCAGAACCAGAGGGCCTGAGCAGCAAGGACCCGCATTCCTGCACTTCAACTGCCATGGGTCTGGCTAGACAGAGAGACTGGTACAGGGGTCCAGAGCTCAGGCCTGGGGTCACATCCTGGCCACTTACCAGCCATGTCACCTTTGGCAAGTTGTTTGACCTTCTAGGCCTCAGTTTCTTCTTCCGCAATTTGGGGATAACAACAAGAACACCTTCTAGGGTCACTGTGGAGATTAAATAAGCTCTTATCGAAAGCACTTTCCTAACCCTGATATGTTATTGAGAGGGAAACTGAGGCTCAAGAGAAGCAAAGTGCCTGTGATCCCAGAGGCCCCGGTTCTCAGAGAACCTGTCTTCAGCCTTCCAGTTCTGCCACCACACTGCCCAGAGACGCCAAGAGCTGGCTGGGTTCCCCCCTTCCCTATCCATCCAGACAGAAGTGCTGGTGGGGACTGTGCAGCCAAACTACCTTCTTTTATTGGATTTTGAGTAAAAACACCAAACATGTTAAAGTTTCCATACAGACTCCTAAAAAGCATTAGCAGATTTGGACCCAAACAGGCTGAGCCCTGGTAGCTCCCTCTATCAGGTTTTAAGGCGGGCTGAGCGCCGGGGTGGTGGGGGCTGGGGGGGTCGAGGCGTCACCTTGCTGGGGGTTTTGGCTGTGTCCTGGGTGCTGGGCAGAGTGGGTGGGCGGCCACTGGTAGTGAACAGGGCAGTCAAGGCGTTCCGAGCGTTGATCGCACACCGGCGACTCACAGGCCGGGTGGTGGGGCTGGGGTTCTTAGCCGCCTTGTATTTCTGGGTACAGAGGGCAGAGGTGAGGTCAGGGCTTCCCCCCTACCTGGTACACTCCTGGCCAGCAGCTGCTTCCCCAGCCTGGCTGAGACAGCGTCCATATGCTCTGTTACCCTGTGTGATACTCTCAGCCTCTCTGGGCCAGGGCTCTGGAGCTAATAGCCTGGCCCTCAGCATCCCCAAGACAATAAAAGAAAGAGCCCAGCCCCACCCAAGCTCCAATTCCCTTGTTGGGGGCAGGGGTAGTGTGCCTGGGAGCTGAGGCCACCCCCATCAGCTTGGATGCAGTCTGACTCCCTGGGCCGTGCAGGGCATCCACTCACCTGCAGGTTCTCAAAGTGGGCCAAGGACTTGCAGTGGGAGAGCTGTGCCCCTGAGTTGCTGTGGTAGAACTTGTGGCAGATGCGGCAGACATAGCCCATCACGGGCACCAGGAAATCCACGCCTGTGGGATGGCAGGGTCTGTGCTCTCGTCCCCCATACCAGCTAGGGTCCCGCCCTCACTAAGGGGCCCATTTGCTTCCCTACCATTTAGATGGGAGCAGAAGAGAAGAGGACAGGGGTAGGCTGCCTGGCCAGAATATCATGGCTGGGACGAGGATGCCTGGAGGCTGGGCCTGAGGGCTGCAGCTCCTGCAGGTGGGCTCAGGGTGGGGTCTTACCATATGCAGTGTTGGGGCTGTAGGTCTCTGAACCCTTCCATTCCTCTATGGATATATCTCTGGACCTCACCTGGAAACATTGCAAGTGTGAGCCTCGGATCTGGCTTCCCTAGATGCAGGTTAGGGGCCTAGAGCCTATCCATGCTTTTGAATACACCATCCCCTTCATTTCCAGGGGCCCGGGGTGGCATTCTCTGAGCCTTTGCACATGCTGAGCCTACCTCCCAGAGTGTGCCCTTCCCAATCTATACTTCCTAGGCTCTGTTCAATCAGACCCCTCCTCCAGGAAGCCCTCCTGCTCCCACAGTGGCCACAATCCATGCCAGGTGTGCCCAACATGTCATATGTGTCTTCTGTCATCCAATTTGATGAGATTCTGCCAGGATAGTGCTTGCTACATGCCTGGCATACAGTAAGTCCTCAAAAATATGTCAGCTAGGGCTGGCCCATGGCTCACTTGGGAGAGTGTGGTGCTGATAACACCAAGTCAAGGGTTAAGATCCCCTTACCAGTCATCTTTTTAAGAAAAAAAAAAAATGTCAGCTGCTATCACCATCACCACCATCGTCACCATCACCATTATCTTACTCTGACTTCCTCTGTGCACAGTTTGCCTTTACTGATGCTGTTCCTACAGCCTAGGATGCCCTTTCCCGTCCTCCACACAGGTCAAAATTTCAGCCAGGCTTCGAGGCCTCTGCATATTTCACCTACCACTCAATAGTCATCATGATGCATATTTACATGTCATATATAATACAGTTCACGTTAATAACAAATTGTGGCATGCACTCATGCCTACAAATGCCAGCATAGTGCCTGGCCCCTCGGAGGTGGGGCGAGGTGCCTCCTGGCTGGGAGTCCCACCTCCTGCCTCCCACACCCTCTCCCCAAGCACCTGCTTGCAGAATTCCTCCTCGACCTCGATCTCCTCTTCATCCTCGTCATCGTCCTCCTCTTCATCGCCCTCGAAGCAACCCACGGCATCCACCGTGATGAAGTGGTCCTCGTCTTGGCCGGTTACCTCCTTCTCAAGCATCTTCAGCTGCCCAGGGGAGTGGGCAAGGGGCACAGGTCAGCTCTGGGCAGCCACGGCGCCACACCCCACCCACCCTACACCCTAGAGCGTCCCAGTCCCTCCGGACCTGCTATGGGTTTGGGCTGGAATAAACCTCAACTTGCTGTGTGGCCCTGGCCAAAGCTCTATACCTCTCTGGGCCCAGGTCCTCTGAGGAGTTGGGGTTACCTCCTTGGCTTTGTCCTTGTGCCCCTGGGACTTCACGTGCTCCACAAACTTGCGGGGGGTCTTGAAGTAGCGGTTGCAAACAGTGCAGAAGGGTCGCAGGGATTGTTTGGCGATCTGGGGAAAGGAGGACGGGTCAGGTAGTGGCAGGCTGTGTCCCCAGGTGCGAGACCCCTGACTAGTGGCCAGGCAGTGCTTGGCGAGACCTCACCTCCCACCTGTAGGCCCACCACATCTGAATATGCCAGGCTGTGTCCCTGCAATGGCACATGGGAAAACACATCTCTTCCCTGTGTGGCTGGCTACAAGATGGGATGGTAGATGGCAACAGAGACAGGATAGGGACAGAGAGAAGACAGGACAGAGGGCAGCTGCCCAAAGCTCTCCCATGAGTGGTAGGGTGAGATGGTACCTTGCCCACATTGGACAGATGGGAAAACTGAACCCAAAGCAGAAACATGACTGACACATCCAGAAACCACCCTGTGAGCTATGGTCACGCAGAGACAAAGACCGACATTGACTTTCCACTCCCAACCTGGGCTCCCTCCTTCCCAGTCCTTGACTTGGAGATGGCATGTGCAGGTGCCTTCGCAGCATGCAGTCCCCCTACCTTGTGGTCCTGTGTCCTGCGGTGTTGGATCAGGTCCCCCATGTAGTACACCTGACAGGTGTTGCACCAGCGCCTAGGGGGAGGCTCTCTGAATGATGACAACCAAAACAAGTACAATGTGACACTATGTTCCTGTTGGAAAGACAGCAGCTGTCCCAGATTATTCCATAAATGTAATGCAATTCCAGCTGTAATTTCAACAGGATCTTTTTTTTGAAACTTAACAAAATGGTTCTAAGGTTCATCTGGATGAATACTTAAGCAAGAATAAACAAGGCAACTTGTGGGTGGGGTGGGGTGAGGTTTAGGAATATTTGGGAGCTGTTAAAATTAAAACCACAAGCACAATAGTTGAAACCATGTAGTGTAATGTACATTGTGACAGTGGGTCAATGGGAAAGAAAGTCCAAAACAGGCTCAAATATTGGAAGAATTCAGCTTCTGTTAAATTAGTACTGAAAAACATAGATCATGCAATAAATTATGTCAAGACAATTTGCTATCCACTTGGAGAAGAAAAGCCTTTTTTTTTTTGCACTGGTCTGTACAGGGTTTCAAAAAGAAAAGTTTTTTGCTTCCAACTCCTGCATACTTCAAAATAAATTCTAGCTGGACTAATAAAGATTCAGGTGTGAAAAGCAAAACTATACGCTTTAAATAAAAGGGGGGGCACACAACTATTTATACAATCCTGGGTTGGGGAAGATCTTTTTACATATAACATCAAAGCCAGGAAACATAAAGGAGAAAATTGATAGATCTGATTGCATAAAAATTAAAAACTTCTACACACTGAAAAATGTCACAAAAAAAAATTAAAAATCAAAGTGTCAGAGATAAAGGCTATGCTGTCACAGGCTAGAGTGTTTCCTTCATGTAGACGGCTTGCTAAAGAAAAACCAAATACATACAAAAACATGTTCTGAGTGAGTGAAAATAGGGACTCTCTACATACACAATTTCACATAAATTTTAGGGAGCAGGTGAACTCCCTAATGCCCATGGATAGAGCCCTGGAAAAACGCTGTTGTAGAGGGCTATATAGAAAAAGTGTTCACATATATCATGTACCATGATTCTAATTTTTATTTTTAAAAAGATTGTTTATATATACAGAAAGGATCAAGGGAAGAACTAGGCCAAAATGTAAATAGTGTTTATCTCTGGGCAATGGGATTATGGGTGATTTTTACCTTCTTTTGTGTCTGTGTTCTTGTATTTTCAAAATGTTATATAATGAACAAATTATTCTTACAATCAGAGAAAAAAGGCTGGCCATTTGACTCAGCTGGTTAGAGCGCAGCCTTATAACCCTGTCAAGGGTTCAGATCCCTATACAAGCCAGCCGCCAGGGAAAGAAAAAAAGAAAGAAAGAAATTAGAGTTTCTGTCACTTAAAACTGCAAAGGATCCCATCTGATACAGGAGGACAGTATCAATGTCTACGTGTTTGAGACCATACTGAGGTAGTCACAGGCTGGGATTGAAGGATTAATTTGTTTTACAAATGGTTGTTAACACTAATGCAGCTGGGCATTGACAAATATGTGACTCTGACTACTAGTGACGTATCCAGGAGGCCACCAGGATTGGGACACAACTGAGGATATATGGCCTCAGAAACTCCTATTTATCCTTCAGTTTAAATGCTCTTTCACTGAGCTCCTCTTGCCCCTCCCCCATTCCTGGGCCTGTCCTCATTCCAGTAAGCCAGATGCCCCTCGGTGGCCTCCAGAGTGCCACTATGATAGCATTTCCTTTTTTTTTTTTTTTAAAGATGACCGGTAAGGGGATCTTAACCCTTAGCTTGGGGTTGTCAGCACCACGCTCACCCAGTGAGCGAACCGGCCATCCCTATATAGGATCCGAACCCTCAGCCTTGGTATTATCAGCACCGCACTCTCCCAAGTGAGCCACAGGCTGGCCCTGCCATAGCATCTCTCATGATGGATTGGGAGGACCTGATCCCTTCTCTGCTCCCATTGGACTGTGAGCTCTGGGAGACCAGCACCCTATCCCCAAATCCCCAGGGCCTGGCTCGGGACAGCCCAGAGTTTCTGACTGCTGCATGAAGGAAGGACAAGCAGCCTATCAGAACTGTCACGTTCACTGTGGCCTCGGGATTCAAGTGAAGACATCACCATGAGAAGATTCAATGAATCCCTCCACCCAAAGCTTGTTAGCAGCTTGCACTACGTCCTTCCAGTTTCCTCCTTTTTTTTTTTTTTTTTTAAAAGATGACCGGTAAGGGGATCTTAACCTGCATCCTTGGTGTTGTCAGCACCACGCTCTCCCAAGTGAGCAAACCAGCCATCCCTACATAGGGATCTGAACCCGCAGCCTTGGTGTTATCAGCACCGCACTCTCCCAAGTGAGCAAACCAGCCATCCCTACATAGGGATCTGAACCCGCAGCCTTGGTGTTATCAGCACCGCACTCTCCCAAGTGAGCCATGGGCCGGCCCAGTCCTTCCAGTTTTCTTCTGTGTCACAAGATCTATTTCTACATAGTCAAGCTCATTCTGCTTATGCAACTTTGAATCCTGTTTTAATCCGACATGCATCATGTTTTGCATTATTATAAATTCCCCGCAATTGTCCTATTTATTAGATATCCCACCAATTGGACAGGCCTTAACCAATCTAACCAATCCCCTAGTTCTGGATATTTTAGATCAATTCCAGTTAGATTTTTCACCATTACATTAACTGCAAAGAACATCTTTGTGAGACTGCCCAGCCCCAGCATGGGACCCCCCAATCCCCACTTACTCTTCATCTCTCTCCAAGACATCCCGGGGCACAGGTAGCAGGGACAAGAGGCAGGCCTGGCTCATGTGCTGGATCTCCCCAAGCCGCTGCTGGTGCTGAGCCGCCGCCATGTGGTCCTGGAACTCCTGCAGCAGGAGGGAGCGAGGGGTGGGCACGAGGTATGAGTCTCGCACAGCGGGCAAGGCTGGGACTGGGGAGGTGGACTCCAACCTCAGCTTCATGACCACCCTGCCAACACTGTCAGACTGTGTGGGCCAGAGCAGAGATGGAAAACTGAGGCACAGAGTGAGGACACACCAGCCAGAGCTTCTGCTCCTCCTAGAGACTGTGTGAGCACCTCAAAGACAAGGAGCAGCCTAGTTAACTTCTAGGTCTCCACAGCTTTACTCAGGTGAGGCAGAGAGTAACCACAGTAATGATAGCAATGGTAGTAATAATGCAGGTATAATGCCATCGTTATTAATATAACATTCACTTTGGGCCAGGCCTGGGTTCATGACTTCAAGGTCAAGTTGCTGCATCCCTAGGACCACCCATGAGGTGGGTTCTAAATGCTTCTTCATCTGACACAAGAGGAAACTGAGGCACAAGGACAGAATTCACCTTCCAAGGCCCACACGGCTAGTCCAGGGCTGACTTGAACCAGGCCTGCCTAAAATCTTGCCTTTCTAGCTGGTCAGAAATGTTTTCTGAGCAGATGCACAGCACTTGGGCCCAGTGTGGTCACTGAGGCAGCCATCGGAAGGGCAGGCAGGATATCCCATGCAGACCCCAAACCCTCCCACCACCCCCTTGCCCTCCACACCAGCCTGGCTTTGCACTACCTGCTGGCTTGCACAGTTGGCCTTGCAGATGTAGCAGAAGAACTGGAGGGCCTGCTTAGAGGGCGTGCTGGCAGCCGCAGCAGTGGCAGAGGTGGAGTCAGCAGGACGGGGCCCGGGTGTGAGAGGTACGGTGCTAAAGGCCCGGCTGTCGCTGCTCTGCAGGATGGTGACCTTCAGGGAGCTGCCGGCACCCCACACCTGCATAGGGAAAAGGAGCAGAGCTTCCACCACCTGGGTGTTTATGGCGGGCCAGCCCCAGTGCTAAAATTCTACGAGCATTGTCTCATCAGATTCTCCTGACACATAGGGAAACTGAGGCTCTGAGTTGTTAGGTGACTGCCCAAGTTCACACAGCCAGAAAGTACTGTAGTCAGGATTCGAACCCAGGTCCACCTTATCCTAAAGTCCAACCCCAGCCATCCCTCACATGACAGACGGGGAAACTGAGGTGCAAAGAAGGTAATGGGTTTGCCCATAGTTGTGCTATAAGGCAGAGCCGGGACCCAAACCCCACAAAGAAGTTTACACTCTGTGCTCTGTGTGCAACGTTACCTGTGTGAGGGGACTGGGGGTTCTAGTTTTGGAATGGCCAGGCTGGGAGGGACTCATCACCAGAAGGACCTCCAGGTCCTCAGAGCAAAGGTGTGTGAGGACGACACAACAGCATGAGAGTCTCACGTGGACGAACCACTGCCAAGCCTGGTCTGGTCTGCCCACGCACCCCAGGCAGAGGCCACTTCACAGGTGGGGAAACACAAGGGCCCTGAGGTGGCCTGGGGCAGAAAGAGGTCGCCCCACCGCTGGGCTCTGTGACCCTCACACTGCCACATTAGCGCCTCTACCCACCCCGAGCATCTCTCTTGCTCTTTTTTCACATTCGCCCACATCCAGGCCACTGGCCGACTTTTCCTGGCTCTCTTCCACGCTGACCTGGGGGCCCGCCGGCTCCGGCGAGGCCTCCTCCACACCTGAAATGACACATGTGCTCTGTTTCCCAGAGTCTGTCTCCCACCCTGGGCCCAGAGGGAGCAGGAAACAAGAGCTGCCTTCTCTGCCCACAGCCAGGACCCTGAAGCCCCCTGCATGGCGATCCTGGACCTGGATTCTAGGCCCAGCCCTCAATCCCAGGCAGCACCCAGTCAGGGCTGGACAGAACCAGGGGAGGAGAAAAGGGTCCGAGCAGAGCTGTCCTGTCACTGCTCACTTACCTTCCACAGCCTCTACCCTATCAGGCGGCCTCTCCAGTGCTGTCTCCAGCGCCATGGCATGAACAGGAACCGGTGCTTGCTCTGGGGCTGGCACTGATACCTGTGGCTGGGCTTGAGGCTGACCCTGGGTCTGCTCCAGTGGCTGCACTAGCACCTGTGCCAAAGGTTGCTCTGGTGGCTGCTCCAGTGGCTGGATCCCTGCCTGTGCTTGCAGGTGTACCTGTGGATATGTCTGTGTCTGTGCCTGCTTCTGCAGCTGCAGCTGCATCTGTTTTGGGGGCTGTGCATGTGCCTGTGGCCGCACCTGCTCCTCCTGCAGCACTAAGTGCTCTGGAGAGGTCTGTGTCTGCGCCTGCTTCTGCAGCTTTGGCTGCACCTGGGTGTCCACTGGTGGCATCCGTGGCTGAGTCTGTGGCTGCACGTGGGCCTGGATTTGCAGAACCCGTGGCTGGAATCGTGGCACCACTTGGGCTTCCCGTGGCTCGGGCAGCAGCTCAGGTGTCTGTGTCTGCTTTGGTGCTGTCATCCGGGCCTGTGGCTGGACCTTTGCCTGTAGCTGCCTTGGAGGCCCCTTCTCTAGGGGCTCTTCTGAGCTAGAAAGGATCAAAAGAAAATCAAAGCCATGTTCTCCAAGAGGACTTCTAAGAAAGGCCAAGACCAGTTTCCAATCCTAGCTCTACTACTCACAAGCTAGAATTTGGGCAAACTCCTCTGGCTCTCTGAGCCTCGGTTTCACCTAAAATTGGGGAAGATTGCTCCCACCTCCCACAACGTACTAACATGTATCAAATCAGCCCTGTAAACCTGCCCACCCTCTGCCCACTCTCTGAGGTCCCAGATGCATATCTTCATCCCTCTAACCTGGTCACCCAGCCTGGCCTCCAAGTGGCTCAGTCCCACTGAAGACACCAGAGTCTGGCCTGAAGCGTTCCCAGGTAAGGTGCAGAAATAAGTTCGACTTTCCTCCAAGCCACAGCCCAAGGCCATTTTCTTGTTCCAGCTCCACTGAAGCATCCACCCCCTCTGCCGCACCCACTCCCTGCCTCTGCAGGAATGAGAGTACAGGGCACGGGGGCCCTGGGAAGGTTCTCAGCATCAGTTACCTCTTCAACCTCTTGGCGGGTGGCTCAGACACCTCACAAGGCTCAGGCTCAGGCGCTGGAGTGCGTCTCCCCTTAGCAACACCATCTGGGCACGGGGGCAAATCCCGGTCTGGAATGAAGGCAGCTGAGAGAATACAGATACTGGGCACAGGGTGTGTGAGCTCTGGGAGATGGGGCCTGGGCTCACCCCTACCAAGAATCCCTGCCTCCCACATCTGCCTCTATGACGTGCCCCAACCCATGTCCCCTCAGAAGGGCCAGCGGCCTCCTTCCCTCACCTTCCGGTGTGTCCATGCGGGGCTCTGCAGCTTCCTCAGACCCCTCTGGGGGGTCTGACTTGTCTTCCACAGGCATCGTCTGAGAAGAAGAATCCTGCTTCCTTTCAGAAACCGTCTTTAACATTCTCCACCCACCCTTGTAAATACCCCCTCACTCAAGAGCAGCTGCAACAGTCCCCCAAGGGATGAAGAGGCCCAGAGGACTGCTGGTAGGCCTGGCCCCAGAGCTGCAGAGCAGATGATCCTAAACACCCCAGGAACTGAGTCTAGGGGGTGCCATCAAAGCTGCCTATCAAAGAAACCCAGGTTTGAGGGACACAAAGCCTTCTGGCCCACAGAGCTCCCCCTCCCCCACCCCGCCCCTTCTCCACAAGACAGCCAGAGGGATCCTTCTAAACTGCAAACCTGATCACGTCTCTTGTCTCTTTCAGGATTTAAGCCCTCTGCTGGCTTCCCGGAGCCCAGGAGTACTCCTTACCCTAAGCCCGCCGGAAACCACCCTCCCCACCCCTGCCCCATACAGCCTGGCCTCTGGCCTCTGCCCCCGGCCCCTGGCCCCCGGGCTCCAGCCTCAGCTTTCCCCCAGCCATCTCTGCTCATCCACACTGGCTTTCTCTCTGGTCGAGCCCCAGGCCTCATCCTGCCCCCAGGCCTTCACCTAAAGCCTTCTTGCAGGAAGCCCTCCTGACCCCACACTAGGTCCAGACCCCTAGTATAGGTCTCCAGAAGGCTTCTGGCATCCTTTTTGTAGCATTTTCCACAGTCTTAATTAATTGGTTGGAGCATTATTCACATTAATATCTCTCCCACCCCCACTCCCCCAAGACCTCCAGGAGGGCCGTCTGGATGCATTATCTGCACTACTAAGTCCCCTGCAGGGGTTACAGATGTTTGCTAAATGAACACATAGCTTTGGCAGGTTCCAGGGCACTCCAGGAAGTCCAAGAGCCCGCCTGCAGCCTGCCTCCCTCCTGCTAAGCTCGACGAACCTGTGCTGAGTGGGGAACGGCAATCTGTACATCACATCAGGACTCCGGGCCCTCCAGAAACTACCCAGCTCTCACCCCACATACCACGGTGCCGGCCTGTGAGTCAGGAGGCCTGGGTTCCAGGGCTGCCTTGATGGCTGTGTGACCCAGGACAACCCCCATGCCAGTCTCTGGGCCTTGGTTTTCCCATATGTGAAACAGGGGCAGGGCAGGTTGGACACTGGACAACACGACATTATGACAGTCACGACTAGACGGTTGGAGGCTGGGGCCCTCTCTGGAGGGAAATGCCTCACCTCCGGACATGTGCAGCCCCAAAGCAGCCAGGAAAGGGGATGTTGCCCCGGGCAGGGATGCGCCCAGGAGAATGGTGTGTGCGAGGACCTGCTGGGACATTCAGGAACAGGACAGTCTGGGAAGGAGGTGATTCTCTTTACAAGTCTCTTCAGGTCTTTCTGTTTATGTCGGGGGAAGGTTTAACACCTCTCCAAAGGCCAAGGAGGGCTGGCCAGTTGCTCACTTGGGAGAGTGTGGTGTGGAGAAAACCAAGGTCAAGGATTTGGATCCCCATACCACCCAGCTGCCGAGAGAAAAAAAAGCCCAAGCCCAAGGAGCCAGAGGCTGGGAACTTTAGATGGCAACAGTGTAGGATTTCATAACATTGTTTTACCCCAGCTACATTTCTTTTACTTCTACTTATGCCAATTAGACAGTTTTAAAAACTTCAGGTAATGATATAATGTTGCTTTTAAAATAGTGTAACTGAAAAGAAGCTAGTTCATTTGCAGCCCTGCGAACCTAACAGTAGCCAGTGACACAGGTGAGCATTGGAAACACGGGGAGTCTGACTTGAGATGGAAGTATAAAATACACACCGGATTTTGAAGATTTCATATTAAAAAAAGGGAATGTAAAATACCTCATTCATTTTTTATATTGACTATAAATATTGAAATGATGTTTTGTCTATCTTAGGTTAAATAAAATATATTAGTGAATTTAATCTCAGCTGTTTCATTTTGCATTAATGTGGTTACCTGAACGTTTTAAGTTACATATATGTCTTACATTTTATTTCCATGGGGCAGCACCTCTTTTTAAGGAAAAATATTAAGTAAATAACAGTACTGGTGGTGTTTGGCATGGCAAAAATCACGTTCGGGTACAGGAATATTTGTAGTTTGGGAAACACTAGATAAGTCCAACTCTCTCCACCACCACCCCTGCCATTTTATAGATGAGGAAACTGAGGCACAAGGAGAGAGTGTGACCTGCCCAAAGGTCCAGGGTGAGCCTAGGTGGGTAGAGCTGGGGCTGATACCCAGGTGTTCCCTCTCCTGCTCCCACACCCACCTGCTCCACCCCAGTCAACACTCACCTTGCGATTAGGGGTGGTGGAGGAGGAGGTCCGAGTCTGTTTCTGGGGGGTCCGCCCAGAGTGGTTGTGCTGACAGGGGTTCATGGGCACCCCAACAGGAGGGGGACCCAGCAGGGACTGGCGGGTGGCCTGGGGAAAGAACTGCTGCAGATTTGTAGTGGCCAGCTGGGGTGGCGTAAGGCTGGGGGTGGTCAGGGTCGGGGTTGCCATGTTGTAGCCTCGGAGGTTACCTGCAGCAAGAAAAGGGGAGGAGAGCAATCACACGTGCCCGGGGGGTAGAGGCAAGAGTCAGGGGTCATCCCTACAAAGCATCATGGGAACATCACAGATAACTTTGAAGGGGACCCTCCCACCCAAGAGCAGCCAGAGGCAGGAGACAAGAGCAGAAAACTCAGTCCTCCTTTGGGTGTTGGTGGTGAAAGAGGCTTTAGGGCTGGGGTGGGGGTGCTGCCTTTTCTCTCCCAGATGCCTCTGGATCAGCGGCTTGAGCAACCCCAGCAACCCTGCTCACCCTCGGGCATGCTTTAGGGTAGTCCTTAGGGTATGTGAGAGACCCAGCACAGGGCCCACAGGGAGAACCAGAAAGGTGACTGATCCCTGGAATAATAAGACCCCCTACCCCCACCAGCTAGTCTTCAGGAAAGGCCTACTGTGAGCCAGGCACTGCGCTAAGCACTTTCCAGACACTGCATCAGCCACTTGGCCCAGCAGGCATCAGGGTAAGTATTATCTCTACCAATGACAAGACAGAGACACAAAACTGAGGAGCAGCTTGCCCACGGTCTCTATGAGAAGCACCACCATCCACCCACTGGCCCCCGCCAGGCTTCTGGGAGTCTTCCTGATTCCTCCTTCTCTTCACCCCACCCCCCATCCAAGCCATCACCAAATCCTATCAACTCTATCTCCTGCGCCCCTTCCCTTTCTGGCTTCCCCTCTCCATCCCCACTCTCACTGCTGCCACGCCCTTCCAAAGCCACTTCATCCCTTGCCTGAATTTCAGCCATACCCTTTGCACATGATGTCAGCAAACAGTGATCTTTCTAAAACCACACTCTCGCTTCATCCCTACCCCTGCCCAAACCCTTCCCCAGCTCCCTGCTGCTTGGGAACTAAGCCCATTCCTCACTGTGCAAGGTCTGGCCCTGCCCACCTCCTTTCTTGCCACTTCCCCCACATGTGCTCCCACTACACCCCAGGCACATGTTCCTGCGGTCCTTCGAACATCCTGCCTCTGGGCCTTTGTGTGTGCTGTTTCCTCTGCCTGGGCCATCTGTCCCACTAACTCCCAGTCATCCTTCAGACCTCCCTTTACGTGTCTCTCCTCCAGGAGGCCTTCCAGACTTCTCTGTGTCCCCCTAGGCCTAGCTGCATAATTTCCTTGTCTGCTTCCTACTGCACCTCATCTGACTCAGCTCCACACCTTAGCAGAGGGAAGTGTTTGAGGCCTGAGACACAGTTGGAACTCCTGCTCTGATGCTGGGATGGGATGCACAGGGGTTTAAAGGCATCGGTCAGTTGTGCTGTGAGGGCTGGGTTCAAATCCAGACTCTACAGTACAAGCTCTGTGACCTTGAACAAATCAGTTTCCCTTTCTTAGCCTCAGTTCCCTCATCTGTAAAATGGGGATAATAGTACTTGCCTCATAGTGTTTTATGAGACTTCAATGAGATATATAAATGTGCCTGGTACATAGTAAGTGTTCAATTAACATTAACTTAAAACAAATACATATACACATATGTGCAGAGAGCAAGCCACCTAGCTCTTAAAAGCAATAAGACAAAAGATGGAACACCCTAAAAGAAAAACGGACAAAGGACATGGACAAGTCACAAAAAGAAATACAAATGTTTAACAGACAAATAGAAAATGCTCAGCTGCACTAATACTCCAAGAAAAGTAAATTAAAGCAATGATACAGCTTTTTTTGCCAACTAACTTAGTAAATTATATGTGTACATACATTTATATATATATATAAAAGCATATAATACCCAATGTTGCTGTGGGCATGGTGAGACCGGCACTGTCATACGTGGCTGGTGGCATTGCAAACTGGTCCAGTCCTTGAGGAAAGCAATTTGGCAATACTTATCAAGGGCTATAAAACATCCATCCCCCCTTGACTCATTTATTCCACTTGTGGAAATCCATTCTAAGAAAATAGTCTCAAACATTATATTCATCCTAGTGTTATTTAAAACAGCCAAAAAAAAAAAAAAAAAAAAAGCAAAAAACAAAACAAAAGAAAAAAAAAAAAAGGAAACAGCTGAGAAGGTTCGGTAAGCAAGGGCACATCCCTTCAGTGCAATATTAAATAACTATTGAAAATAATCTTGACAGAGACTGTCAAATCATATGATAAATGAACATGCCATTCTACTCAGTGAAAAAGAAACAAGATACAGCTTCTCTCACTTATATCAATGACAATAATAATATAAAAGGCCTCAAGTTTGTACCTAGAAAACAGTGGGTAGAAATACACCAAAATATTGGCCAGTGCTTGTCTTTAGGAGGTTAGTAAGTCTACAGATGACAGTTTGGGTTTTCCTATCCCCTTTTCTTTATATTTCATTCACTTTGAAGAGTGTGACTTTTAAATGGGAAAGAAAAAGCATACGTCGTGGGTCCCTCTGTATGGTTTTCTCTCTCCACCTGTCCACCTATCATTTGGAAGTCAGCTCCCAGGACCATCCACACCCACTTGGCCCTGGCAGGGCTGAAGAATGTGACCATTTAATCAACACCTAGTCGCTGTGTGACTTTGGGCACATGACCCCTCTCTGGGCCTTAGTTTCTTCAATTGTACTTCTCCTTAGGGTTATCAGTAGAGTCAAGAGCAGCATCTTGGAAGAAAGAGCTGAGAGACTGTTCTCTACATGCGGAAACTGACGCAAGGTCACACGCTTAATGCACAGGGCTAGAAATATTTCAGAGACCTGGGTGGTCAGGAGGCCCAGGCTTTGGTCTAGCTCAACCACTTCTGGTGCTGTGTGACCCAGGGCAAGTGACTTTCCTTCTCAGCTTCCTCATCTGTCAAACGGCACGTAATCTGCATGTGCGTGAAGAGCGAGAGCTAAGGCCAAGGGCACACCTCTGTGATCAGACAGATCTGAGTTCAGCTGAGCAGCTCCTGGAGCCTCAGTGTCCTCATCTATAAACCAGGGCACTGACAGTAGCTCCCTCCAGCATCACTGTGTCCATTTGATGAGATTTAGCATAATGGGGCTGCTAGAGAGCTACAATAAAATAGACTGAGAAGGGGCCCACAGCCATACCTTGCAACTGCTGCAAAAGCAAAGCTCTCTGTAGCACTGAGCCATTGAGGAGGGAGGCCGAGTTGGCACCCTGGAGATTCAGAAACTGCTGCTGTGGCTGCTGCTGAGGGAGCCCCCTGCATGTTGGGAGGGGGTGTCAGAGGATTATTTGGAAGGTCAGACCCTTCCTCTTCCCTGAGACCTCTCATCTCCATTCTCTGCCCCCATCTAGAGTAGACAGAGGTCCCCCTTGGGGGTGGGACTTGATGACCTCCAGGAGTCAAACATGGATGCCCCTGGGAGAAAGGACTGGGATGGGGGTCTCCAATATATAGATCTGAGTGGCAGGGATGGAGGCACTAGTCCCCCAAGTGAGGAACTCACCGGCTGACAGCCATAGGCAGCGGAGGCTGCGGTGGGGAGTGCTGGAGCAGCTGCTGGAGCTGCAGCAACTGCTGCTGCTGCAATTGCTGTTGCTGAAGCTGCTGCTGCTGCTGTAAGTGCTGGAGCTGCTGCTGCTGCTGCTGGTTGAACATGGTGGCTGAGGGAAGGATGGGGAGTAAGGCAGGGGTCCTCACCATAGGTCAGTCCAGCTCCCCTCCCATCCATAGCCACCCACCCCAATTTACAGCTGACAAGTACTGCCTGCTGAGCTTCCCTGCCACGCTTCCCGTCCTGCCTAGAACATGCCATATTTGTACCCTCATCCTTGCAATCCAGCTCCAATCCTGCCGGGAGCAGGATCCAACGACCCTCTTGCCAATTTCCCCCAAATCCTGGCAACAGTCCCTCCTTCAAATCTCCCACCTCACTCTCTCTCTCTCCAACTTTGGTGGCTCCATTCTTCCAAGCCAAACACACTTCCCACCCCCACCTTCAGCCCTTCTCTGAGCCCGTCACTTCCCGATGCCAACCCCTCCCCACTCACACCCCCTTTTTGATACCGAGACCCTCTCCTTCGTGGTTATGTCGTGTGAATAACATCAGCACCCCGCCCCCAGCTTTTCACTTCCGTGCATGAACCGAGCAAGACAGCTGCCTCCGCTCTAAGCCCGCCCGCCCCGCAGATGCAGCCGACGG